CATCGGTATCAATAATAGTAATTAAAGGAGTACTATTAATGAAACATGTACCTCTGATAAGTCTGTCCTTAATAGCTGTCTGATCCTCAACCAAAGCAAACACTTTACCACTTAACTGAGTCCTCTTCGGTTTCGGACACTGACTACCAATGTGCCCTGCTTCTCTACAATTGAAACAAATCACATTCTTATGTTCACACTCAGATACAACATATCCGTTCTTGCCACAACGGAAACACCTCTTCACTTCAGTAGTGCACACATTACTTTTGTGCCCAGGTTTTCCACACTTAAAACAAACCACACCAGCAGGAGCATCTCCCCCACTAGTCTTCTGACTCTGAGCAACTTTCTGTTTACCTTTACCAGCTGGGGTATCATAAGGCTTACCACGATTTTGTTGGTGCTTATCCCTCTTCTCACTGATAATCTTGTAATCCGCATTATTATCCTCCTCATAAATTCCGCAACTATCAACCAAATCAGCAAAGACACGGATCTTCTGGTATCCAACTGCCTTCTTGATCTCCGGGCGCAACCCGTTCTCAAACTTGATACACTTCGAAAACTCAGCATCTGCCTCTGCGTAATGCGGATAAAACTTAGCCAACTCAGAAAACTTGGCAGCATACTCAACAACCGACATATTTCCTTGCTTCAGCTCAAGGAACTCAATCTCCTTCTTACCACGAACATCTTCAGGAAAGTACTTATTCAAAAACTCCCTACGGAACACAACCCAAGTGACATTCTCACCTGCAGCTTCCAACTTCTGACAAGTCTCTAGCCACCAGTCATCACCCTCGACTGCTAGCATATGAGTCCAATACCGAACCTTCTGCGCTGGAGTGCAATCCATCACACGGAAGATTCTCTCAATCTCTTTCAACCACTCCAATGCTCCGTCAGGGTCATACTTTCCCTTGAACATATGTGGATTCTCTCTCTGGAAAGTCGCCAAGTTACGAGATCCAGCATTCCTGTCAGCATTCGGCTGATTCTCCATCGCATGAGCCATTGCTTCTAGAGCAGCAGCAAGTGCAGCATCATTCCTTCCAGCCATCTCAACTTATCACTACAACATAAACAACGGTTAGAACTCAAATTAACAATACTCGATTGTTAAACAACTACGACTCGACAACAAGGTTGGACCAACCTTTTGCTCTGATACCAACTTTGTAACACCCCAATTCTACCCGACAATTATATAAGTAAATCAAAGTTATAAAATCATTCATGCAAACGAATCGGGATGTCACAAATTCATCTTTCAAAACACATTGCATTCATCGTGGATACATAACACTTTAAAACATCGGATGAACCATCATAATAACAACTTTAATTAATTAATTCAACAATTCAACATCTACGCAGCGAAATTCTTAATAGCATCTTTATCATCATTACAACAACTTCAAAACAACACATATTTAGTAACAATCAACTTAAAGTTCAACGACTGAATAATCAATAATCAAAAGCAACAAGCGTTCATCCCCCCGAGTGTTACATATCAGAGCAATGACACCGATTCGAACTACTGAAGTTATACAGCATTCACTCTCGATTACCTGCACGTTACCAATGTAAGGGCAACATTCAAACAGAAGGGATGAGATATCTAACAATATAATGAAGCGTATGATAATTAATATATTAAATTAGATCACATAACATCACCACTTCTCATCTCATAATCAATAATAATCACAACAATAATACACATTCACAACATTAATACATACTTCTTTATGCAATCATATAATGCGACTCAATACTATGCAAATGCATGTGGTACCATTGGAGCAGAACTCCTATCTCAAAAATTACCAATTAATAGAGGCATCAACAAGGAATAAGCCTTCATCTCAATATTCGCCAATACAGGCCATCTCAACGAGCATAAGCTCCATCTCAAAATGCAATGTATGCGACACAATCATGAATGTAATAACAACGCCATAATTGACAACATCTCAATACCACATCATCGTTGGCCAAAGACCTACATCTTAAAAGCATTTCAACATCTCTTCATCAACGTCGTTTATCATCATAAATCATCAGACCTCATTTATACATCATAATTCATCAAAACAAACTCTCATTAACACCATCTCATCAACAACTCAGTTGTACAGTAATACGACAGTACTCATCATTTTCACAACGTTGGCCATAGGCCTACAACAAGACATTGCCTATAATTAATTAATCAACTAAGGCTTACTTCTAAATCACCAAACCTCTACATACTACTATCCTGTAATATTACATCGTTATTATCATTAATCCTACTGTTACAAATCAAACAGCAGCCTATAAGCATCTCATCTTCATCATTCTCCATAAAAACCAACATAGCGATCTACACGGTAACTAATTCAAATCTTATGGTTATCCTTCCTATTCTTCATTTTAATCCTTAATAATAAAGCTCATCGCGTTAGCTATTCAACGCTTCGAACGACACCTCAAACGGCATCCGAAAACTCAAGTTACAGCCTTTTCTAAACGATTCTGCCAAAAATCAGACAACATGGATCGATGCATAACTCCTTGGATCGACGTGTACTGCACTGAACTCGCAACATGAGTCGACGCATCCTCTCTTGTATCGACTCATACTGAGTCTAACACACAACATGTATCGACACATGCTCCTACGTATTGACTCATCCTGAGTCTAAAAGCCCTCATGGATCGACGCAAGACTCCTTCGTGTCGACTCATCCTGAGTCTCTAAACCTTCTTGTATCGACACATCATGTTTGGGGTCGACGCATACTGCTCTGTCCTGCATAATTTCTGTGATTTTCTCTGCGTTTTCACTACGGGTTCCATACCTTAAGCCCTAAAATTTAATCTAATCATAGATAATCGTCACTTACAATTATCCTATAATTCTACATCAATTAAACAACATCGGGACATCATTATTCATCTATAATTCATCAATTTTTCATTATACGACATCATATAAGATTCAATCATGAACAAAACAACATTTCACCTCTAACCCCACACACCAATTATCATGAACCCAATTATAGAGTAAAAACCCCACCCTTACCTTGGATTGAAGGTCGCTCTACAACTTTCGATCGAATCCTCGTTCTGCCGTTTTTCCTCTTTTCCAACAGCTTCACGTTCTCCTTTCCAACCCTTATTCTTCTACTGCTTCTTCTTTCTATTCCTTCTAACAATATAATAAAATAATCTATTATACTCTTTATTCGTTAATGGGCTCAAAACTAATACACCCCCTCATTACTACTTCTATTCCTTTAAAACAAGCCCACATCAAATAATATTATACTTCTAATATTATTTCTCCACTTAATAAAATAATTAAATCCAATTAATCACAACACATCTTCACAATTATTCCAAAAATAATTTAATTAAATGATTAATTAAATTACGGGCATTACACCATGCAGTATCCAGAGTGGGGATTGTAGAAGACCCCAATATCTGATCGCGAACAGACGAATACTCTGGAGGTAGGCCATACAGAGTTAGAAACATGAAGAAGGATCGATGTTGTTCAAGTTCCTTAGCAGTGGTAGCAGTTGGGGGCAATAATTCATTGAAATCATGAAGAAGACCTTGAACACGGCCCAAGTATTAAGCCATAGAACCATCCAGGGGACGAGGGGAAATAATATTCTGCAAATTTTGACACACTCCATATAAGCGTTGTGTATCATTGGTATAAAGGATCTTAGCCTGTGCCCAAACAGATTCGCAAGTCTCATGAGAACGAAAGATCTGTTTCAAGGATGGACTAATGGTCGACTTAATGAGACTGCAGAGTTGAGCATCAATTTTCTTCTAACGAGCACTATCAGTGGCAGCCACCGAGTCAGCCTTCGTAGTGAGGTGATCTTCATAGGCCTGTCCCCGGAGTCATAACTTGACGTCGGAAGCCCAAGATTTATAGTTAGTACCATCCAATTTGTCAACGGCAAGTGGAGTAGTGATATAACTTGTGAAAATAGGGGCCTCGGCCCTTGGAGGGGGAACGGCGGCCATGGATTCTAAAAAAATGGAAGATCTGAGAAGGACTATCGGAAACCGGAGATGAAGCACGATTACCGAAAAAAATTGGCGCCGATAGATAGTGGATCTACCGGGAAAGCACGGATTAGGGTTGCCTCTTGTTAGGCTCTAGATACCATGTTGAATAATGAGAGAACAAGAGGAAGGTTGGATTGAATCCGTGTGTGTGAATTACACATCGGAGCTCATTATATATAATAGGAGGCATAAATGTCATAGTAATTACGTAATATTCTATAATAATTACATAATATTCTATTTCCTATTTACATGATATCCTAATTACTTACAGAATATTCTATTTACATAATATGGAATATTCCGATATCTAACAGATTTAATCTGTAATCTGTATCCAATATGCCGCCCTTTTAAAGATATAGAGTCTGATATGTTTTTGGTACCTATACAAAAAAAATACAAAGTATGATAAATATTTGTAGTTCAGTGATGATGACCGAAAATATGATGAAAATTTGAATATGGGTGATAAAATGTGAACTGATAAGTTGCATTTCATGCAATTAATATGTAATTGAAAAAATGGGGATATATAGTTGAATGAGTCGAGTGGTTATTATAAATTGTGTATGATGCAACTAATAAGTGAGAGATTCAGCATTCAACATAAGTATCTGAGATGCAGAGAGTCAAGAAGAATAAAAGTCAAACTTGTTGACAGTGTGTCAGGAGCCTGTCAAATTGTCAATGGTGTATCAAGAGAGTGTTGGAATTTATTTTATGTTTTGTTCAATCCAAACTTGGGAGGCATCTTGGGTTGCATTATATCTGTAGACAATCTCCATTTTCTAGCTATTATAAAACCGTGTCTAGCTATTATAAACTGTATTAGTACTCATTTTGAAGATTATTGTTTCGAATTATGTTAATTTCTTCAACTTCGTAACATTTTTCCTCACATTGACTAGGTCGATTCCTTGGTGAGCTCACAAAGCAAGTGATTTCTGATCTTGAAGCCAGTAAATATCAGGTGCTTTACTGAATCACTATATAATATTTTTGAACTATTTCAGAAAATATGAAGTTCTAATAAAACACTTCTTTTTTAACTTTTTCTGTCATGATCTTCTGTATGTGTGCTTCTCAGCTTCCGATATTAACCATAAACACGGGCTAGTTTATTAATGCTATTTTACTTGAGTTGATGCCTCTAACTTGTCTGTGGTTGTGCCATAAGCATGTAGTATTCTTTATTTAAATTCCATTTAAGGAAGGTGATTGTATAACTTCATTTGATGTGCTTCTCAGCTTCTAATATTAACCATAAACACTGGCTAGTTTATTATTGCTATTTTGCTTGAGTTAATGCCTCTAACTTGTCTGTGGTTGTGCCATAAGCATGTATTCTTTATTTAGATTCCATTTAAGGAATATGATCGAACAAGTTCCTTTGTGGGTGTCTACTTATTTTTGAACACGCTTTTCATTAAATTGCATTACAAAGATATCTACTGAAATTTCCTTTTTTCTTCAGTTGTTATTGGCAATACCTTTCTCTAAGCTTCAGCTTTTGTGCTCACAACACTTATTACAACATTCTCTGGATAGACTCATTTCAACCTGTTTTTAAGTTTACATTTGTAATCATCTTTTATTCATCCTTTTTAACCTTTGAGAAGTAAGTAGTAGCCAGATAAGGCATTTTTTTTTGCTATAAAGGAATAGAATTTGGCATTCATTTCTGTTTTATCTACAAAAGATTTCCCACTCCCTTCTTAATGGTAAAAGTTTTGGTTTTTGTGAATAGTATGTTACCATATATTGATTTTTATTTTTGCATGCTTATTCCCTCCTAGATTATTTACTCATGTACTTTTGTACCTAATCCATTCACAGATGGCTGAATATAGACTATCAATATATGGTAGGAAGCAAAGTGAGTGGGACCAACTAGCCAGTTGGATAGTGAATAATGAACTGTACAGTGAGAATGTTGTTTGGTTGATTCAGGTATTGTCCAATTATTTCCTTTAAGTCACTGATTAGTTTTATTTGTTAAAATGCTATAAAAGATTTATTGTTAATTGCACACTTGCATAATTCGGTAATCTCTGCAGTTCTCACTTTCACAGTTTTCAGCTTCATAGTATAATGGTGGTTGTCTGTTCACATTTAGTTTAATATTTCAAGGTTAAACATTATTCCAAGTCTATAAATCACTCTTTTGATGTTTCTCTTAGGAGTATAAGTATCTGGAGTATAAATCATTCTTTTTATTCTTGTCAATTGATGCTAGTTCATATAAAATGTGTCTTGCAGCTTCCAAGATTGTATAATGTATACAAAGACATGGGAATTGTGACTTCATTCCAGAACATGCTTGACAATATCTTCATTCCACTTTTTGAGGTTACTGTTGACCCTAATTCACATCCTCAGCTGCATGTTTTCTTGAAACAGGTCTGGTATTTAACTACGTTCTGTAGTGTTGTTTATTTTTTTAGTTAAACATCCATTTTGGTTTCTCCTAATATACAATTGTCAGCAGTTTGGTTCCACAAAATTACAAACATTTTGAAATGACCATCATTTTTTGACATCAAATTAATCCTCTGACTGGGATCAGTTTTGATATTATGATGTAAAAGATTGAAAATAAAGGAGAATTTTGTTATATTTTAAGGATTGAAATAGTGTTGAATCTATTTTTTGTTTATATTATACGAGTTCTGCCTTTATGGATTGTATGAGTATTGACTGATGATTGTAGAACTGTTTTATCATCTACACTTTTTAAGTATCTAAAGTAGTGTAAATGTCTATTACTATGAATTGCATAAACTAGTTTTTTTTAGCCGGATCAATTATTGTCATCTAGTAGTGCCATATAGTATTAATTACCTAGCTGTTATTGTTTTCATTTTTAAGGTTGTTGGGTTGGATTTGGTGGATGATGAAAGCAAACCTGAAAGACGACCAACAAAACACATGCCTACGCCTGCTCAGTGGACTAATGTATTCAATCCAGCATTTTCATACTATGTGTATTACTGTTACGCGAATCTGTACACCTTAAACAAGGTATGCAATTTTTCATCAGCATGACTCTAAATTGCTGCCATAGTTTTGGATGCTTAGTATTTGGTATAATGTATTCTAAGTAATAGCTTAGCTGATTTTATGGCTCTAATTTCATGAATATTTGATTTTTTGACTTTGTTGACACACTAAACTTATCCTAATATGCATATTTCTCAGCTTCGTGAATCAAAGGGAATGACTACAATCAAATTTCGTCCTCATTCTGGAGAGGTATATATTGGAGTATATTTTGTGTTAATTAATTGGGGTTTGGTAACCTGATGCATCATGTTGACTTTAGGCTGGTGATATTGACCACCTTGCTGCTACCTTCCTTACTGCTCATAACATCGCACATGGAATTAACTTGAGAAAGTCACCTGTGCTTCAGTATTTATATTATTTGGCCCAGGTATGGCTCTTTTATTAATTTATTATTACCTGGTTATGATTAGTGCAACATCTACTTATTCTTAGGTGAATACTTCTTTTACAGATCGGACTGGCAATGTCTCCTCTGAGCAATAACTCTCTATTTTTAGACTACCATCGAAATCCTCTTCCCCTGTTCTTCTTACGAGGCTTGAATGTATCACTTTCAACTGATGATCCGCTCCAAATTCACTTAACAAAGGAACCGTTGGTTGAAGAGTACAGCATAGCTGCTTCTGTAAGACCTCTTTCTCTCTTTGCCTGTGTGCATGTGTATTCTATCAATAGAAAATACTTACATTTTATATATATATATATTATAGGTGTGGAAGTTGAGCTCATGTGATTTATGTGAGATTGCCCGTAATTCGGTCTATCAATCAGGTTTCTCACATGCTTTAAAGGTACATTTCTTATTCTGATTCGTATGAGAATGGAATCCTCTGCCCCCAACCCCAAGGCATTCTTTGTGTTGTATTCTTACATGTATTCAGGGGAATCTAGAGTTATCTTAGATGGGCATAACCTTTTGCTCAATATCAATATTTAATGTCATATTTATTGATATTAGAACACATTTGTTGAAACCATAATCACTTTTAGGCAATTGCCGAGACGTAAGATTGAGTCTTCCTTAGGATGATCATATGCTCTGGGATTTGGGTTCTCGAAGGGGCAAATCCAAAACGAGTGTAATTGTCTTAATATCAGTAAAGGGGACCTAGCTTCTCTATTTATAATCACATAGCCCTAGTGGTTAGGCATGCACTTTATCCTACACAAATCAGAATTAGATGTTCAAAAGCCCATTATTTTGATTACATTTACCAGGCCTAAGCATCATCAAATGGATCACGGCATCATTCCGTTTTTACAAAACCAAAATCTACAATTGGTTGTAGCCCACAAAATACTAGAATAATTCTAACATTTATTATTATGGATTATCTTTAGTGTATTCTATTCCATACATGCTCAATATTTATTTTGAATTTTCCATCTCAGAATTTTAGGCAATTAATTACACTAAAAAACAAATATACAAATTATTTTCTGCAACCTTTCAAAATTATCTTAAAATATCCCATAGGATTAATTCTAAATTTATTTTTAATTTTAAATTACAAACACATCCCTTAGTATTATTCTAAATAAAGTTTAGTGCTTTGTCTTTTACCATCAACATTATATTAAACTATAAACATGACCCAAAGTCTCTATTTATCTCTCTTTCTCAATTGTCTTAAGTCCTATGTTTTTATCATTAGCTATAGTTTTTGTTGCCGCTATAGGAGAAACTCCCGTTGTCCCAAATTTACCCCCTCAAATTGGGGGTGAGGTGCACCTTGGTCTCATAACTGAAAATTATAGATCACTCTATTTCTAAACTTTCCAAAGTTTGCCTTTTAGTTGATCAGATGATTTTTCTGTTAACATTCAGTCACACTGGATTGGTAAGGAATACTACAAGAGAGGGCCAAATGGAAATGACATTCATAGAACAAATGTTCCTCACATTCGGCTGGAATTCCGTGAAACAGTAAGGATTTATTAATAATGCTTACACAAATTTTTCCTGGCTGTTAAATTTCTCATGTAATAATGGGTTTATTAGTATATGTTTGATTAATTTCATATATGTTTGATTAATTTCATTTATGATTTAAGTATGCTATATAAACAAATTGGGACCGCTAAGATATTGGAAATAAAATTATTACCTTTCACTAAACCATCTGAATTATTTAAAGAAAATATGCCCTCTCCTTTAACTTCAATTGTTTTTTATTTCTAATTCATGAACATGTGTGCTTTTAGGGTACATATCAGCAAAATCATTTTTGGTCTATACATGAAAACGCGGCTCAATGCAGACTTTGGTCCAGAATAATTTCCGGCTTTGTGTTTGAATACTAGAATTTTATGCTTCTCCTGGGGTTCTTATAGGTTGTTATGATTAAAGTTTTGGTCCCTATTAAGAGTAACACCACTCTAATAGTCTCTCGGTGACCAATGCAATAATGTTAAAATATAAGGACTAATCCTTGGAAAATAAAGACAATTTACTTTTGATTAACAAAAACTATAAGCACTTAAAATATATAAACCAATACTTAATGATAGAAACTATTGGAAATCCCGCCTTCATTGCTGCGGTCAGCCTCTAGTCGTCTAATTGTGGCATTTGAGCTGTCTTCATTGCCGCCTCCAACACACAGCCTCCAACACTTTCACTTTGTTGGGTTTGAAGAGCTGAATTTAATCTCACACTACTTAGAGGTATAACCTGTGTAGTGTTTATAAAGTTTGGACAAACGTCACCTTACAAGCTAATTTTGTATGGTTGAGTTAGGTCAAACTACAATTTTTAAGATGATTCAAAATCTAGTTTAAGATCCGTTAGACAACTCACTATTAAATTGTCTATTAGGCCACCCACCATTTATATCTACGCACCATAGTACTTGAGATGAGGGGGTGTTAACCTTACAAACCAGTTCTTTTGTAGGGACGAGTTAGACTCAATCACAATTCTTAAGAGAAACCAAAGCTTAAATAATAACATAGGAAGTTAAAAAATTTTAAGAACCAAAATCTAATGTAAACTTAATTGGAGTGATTTGTTGAGTGTTGATAAGGGGAATCACACAAATAATTGCTTTCTTTGCAGATTTGGAGAGAGGAGATGCAGCAGGTTTATTTGGGAAAATCCATCATTCCTCAAGAAATAGAGAAATAGTCTGGCAGAGGCCTGTATTTCATGCATGAGCAATGGAGGTTGTGAAATAGGTTCTACTTTCTTATTTCCCGTTTTTTCTTTTTCTTTGCTGCAGACTTTGGTTGTTTTGGTTGTCAATTTGGTTGTTTTGGTATGACAATTTGGTGATCCCTGACCTGTTCCAAAGTTAACTAAATGTCTGTTCACTTGTGTAGGGAAAAATCGAGTTCTTCAAAAACCCATTCAGCATCAGAGATAATGTTACAACATTCGGTCAGTGATTTGACCAGATATATATATAATAATATAGATAACTAAAGATCACTGGGCTTAAGCATTGAGCAAGGTTTACAGCTAAATATCACAGAGCTTGAGCAGTGGAACTTGGATAAGCGTTTTCTTGTATTATTAATTTAGGTTAGAATAAAAAATGAGGGTTGGTAATAAGTTAGAATAAAAAATGAGGGTTGGTAATAAATTATTACAGCATTTGTTGATGCACGCTGCTGTTCCAAATACAAGTTAATATGATCCTTTGAAGAGGGAGATTCTCTCAAAATTTTGATTCCCAGAGCTTGTTAGCTGAAAGCTTATGAGCCTATATTTCAAGTTTTATTTTAGTGTACGTGTTTGCAAGGTTAGGTAGGTGAGTTAAACTTGTGCGGTTTAACCAACTTCGGAAATTAGAATGCCAATATTTTTTAGGCTTGGTGTCCTTGCATTAACAAAAGTTTGGCTTGGTATGGATATGTCTTCATTTGATACATTAAAAGATGTTTCTATTCCCAAAACAGAAAACAACGCATGAACTATATCCTTTGAAACAAAAAAGGTTGTGAAGTTTGTTATGATTAAGCTATTTATTTATATGAAAAATAGTGATAGTTTAACTTTTACATGTTCGAATTAGTAAGAGACATATTTTGCTGATTCTCCTTTTGAATTTACATTGTTTCATTTACCTAACAAAATGAAGCGGCCATCTTGATACGAAAATATGCTTTAACCTGTGCCGCATGAAAATATAATAACGCACTTAGGTTTTGCAGATGTATCTCCATGCACACCAAATGCATATTAGCGACCTATTTCAGAAATGAATTTATGTGATAATTTGAGATGTATTTTTGGTGCGTTACGATGCAATAGCAAAAAAACATACACAAAAAAACATAAACAAAAAATAGTATGTTCACAAAATAAAATTATCATTGATATTATAAAATAAGTAACATATAAGAGATTTTAACATAGATCAAACATTACATTTATTTCAATATTCTGGTGAACGTTGCAACATTTTGATAATATTATTGATCGATTTTGAAACAGTTGCATTCAGCTCGATCATAATTGTAAGTATTTGTTGGCAACAATTTTGGTAAAACAATGACTTGTTAATATTTTGCTAAATGTCTTAACATTTGGAGCAAAACTGTTTTGTATGATGTCAAAACAGATGTCTTGACATCTGCCTACTGAACTGATCTCAGTCCAAAATTAGTTAAGTCTTTTGTTTCTTGATTTTCAGCACTCTACAATTCAGGATTTGTGATCTATAGGTTGCGAAAAATATGGAGGAATATTTTTTAAATTGCATAATTTTATCTTGGCCTGTTTTTTATGGAAATATTCAAAAGATTTGGATATTTGATTTTAAGTCCATGCCCAAAGCTTCACATATATAAGGACTTGCTTCCTTATTCAAAGATAAGTAACTTTTGAAGAAGAATACTTTCTTTCTGATTAGAAGTCTAGACTTTTTATTTGTAATGCACTCTAAGTATTAGTTTAAATACTTGAGCTGTTATTTGGGTTGTTAATTGTGTATCATTCATAAGCTTTTAAGCATTGAATGATTAAAGTGTTTCAAACTTATTAATTTTGTTAAGTTCTTCACTGTAAGTGATTGAAGGGATTTGAGGATGGCCTCATACCTAGGTGAGTCTTAGGTAGAAGTTTAGCTTGGATAGTGATTAAATGTTAGATCGTAAACTGGTTGTTTACTGAGGATCTATGAATTGATACTATTTAGTGAACTTATCCCTGACTTGGTAGCCACCAGAGTAGGTGTTGTTGTACACTGAACTGGGTGAACAGTCTCTTGTGTTTTTACTGCTTTTGATTTTACCGCACCTTACTTACAAACAGATATTTGTGTCGTGACATCTCATTCGACATCACATATCTGATATCAGAATTTCAATTGGTATCAGAGCAGGCATCCTGCTCTTTATCTGGGTGAGATCCATGGAAGATATTTTCTGGTACAATGGACAAGGAAGGAGGATTTGTGAACAGATCACCCATTCTGGATGGAAGCAATTATGACTACTGGAAACCATGCATGATTGCCTTTTTAAAGTCCTTAGACAACATGGATTGGAAAGTTGTTTTAAAAGGATGGAAACACCATGTCAAATTGGGAGAAAATGGAGAATCTACTTCTGAATTAAAACCTGAAGAAGATTGGTCTAAGGAAGAAGATGAAATTTCTCTTGGAAATTCTAAAGCCTTGAATGCTATACTCAATAGAATTGACAAGAACATTTTCAGGTTAGTGAATACTTGTGAAGTTGCTAAGGATGCATGGGGGATTCTTTAATCTACTCATGAAGGCACATCCAAAGTTAAGATGTCAAGACTTCAGATACTCACCACAAAATTTGAGAGTTTGAGGATGAAAGATGATGAAAGTATAAATGATTTTCATATGAACATCCTTGAAATTGCTAATGCCTCCAGTACTTTAGGAGAGAAAATACCTGGAGACAAATTGGTGAGAAAGATGCTCAGGTCTCTTCCCAAAAGATTTGATATGAAAGTAACTGCTATAGAAGAAGCCCAAGACATTGACAAAATGAAAGTGGATGAACTTGTTGGATCCCTTCTAACATTTGAATTAAGCATAAATGAAAGATCTGAGAAGAAAAACAAAAGCATAGCCTTTGTATCTAATATTGAAGATGAAGAAGAGGACTGTGATCTGGATACAGATGGAGGAATATCAAATGCTTTAGCTATGCTTGGAAGACAATTTAATAAAGTGATAAAAAGAATAGACATGAACCAAAGATCAAATGTCAAGAACATCCCATCTGACATCTATAAGTCAAATGAGGTGGGAAGAAAAAGGGCTGAAGAAAAATCTTCTCAAGGGAAGGGAATACAATGTCATAAATGTGAAGGCTTTGGTCACATTAGAGCTGAATGTCCTACATATCTAAAGAAACATAAGAAGAATCTATCTGTTATTTGGTCTGAAGAGGACTCAGAGAGTGATCTTGAAGAATCTGCCAAATATGTTAAAGCATTGACAGGAAAATATGTATCAGATAAAGAGTCTAGTGATGGGGACTAACCTTTGATGAGTTAGCTGCTTCATATAAAGAATTATGTCTCAGAAGTGCAGAAGTATGTCTTGAAGGGGAGAAACATAAAGCTCTTATAACTCAGCTGAAAGAGGAAAGGAAAGAGCATCTTAAAACTATTTTTAATTTGGAAAGTGAAGTGTCTTCTCTAAATTCAAATCTTGATAGAATGATCAAATCTCTCAAGATGTTGAATAATGGGTCTGACACACTAGATGAAATTCTCCAAGCAGGAAGAATGACGGGAGACAAGAGTGGTTTAGGTTTCAATGAGAAAAAGGAACCTAACTCAGAAGAGCCTTCATCTGTTTCCACTCACGCCAAGCCTAAACCAAAGATGTTGAATCAAATGTGTCAACATATGAGAAAACATCATGGTAAGAAAGGAAATCTTGACAAACATCATGTGAAGAAAGAACATCATGGCAAACAACCTTCATCTGTTTCCACACATGCCAAGCCTAAACCAAAGATGTCAAATCAAATGTCTCAACATCATGATAAGAAAGGACATCTTGGAAAACCTCATGTGAAGAAAGGACATCATGGCAAACATCACAGGAAGAAAAAGCTTAACCACACCAGGGAGAATCCCCAGCCCTGGAGATGTTATCACTGTGAAAGGCTTGGACATATAAGGCTCTTATGTTTCAAGTTGTATGGATACCCTAAAAATTCTCCTCTTCCCAAAACGGATAAGATTCCCCAAAATAGAAAAAAAGAGAAATAGTGGGTTCCCAAGTCCAAGATTGGTAGTTTCATTGCTCACACCTCTCTCAGAGTATCAACAAAAGATGATTGGTACTTTGACAATAGATGTTCTAGACACATGACATGTGTTAATAATCTGTTGGTAGATGTCAAATCTCATTCCACCAGTTATGTGACTTTTGGTGATGGAGCAAAAGGAGAAATCAAAGGTGTTGGCAAGCTTGACTGTTCAGGAGTTCCTAAGCTTGATAATGTGTTACTTGTAAAAGGGTTAACTAACCTGATAAGCATAAGCCAACTATGTGATCACGAATTCAAATTTAACTTCCCCAAGGAAGAATGTCTTGTGTGCAATGAAAAGAATGAAGTTATCATGAAAGGAATAAGATCTAAAGACAAATGTTATCTATGAGTTCCTCAAGAGTTAAACCTCTCCTCAACATGTGTGTTAGCCAAAGAGAATGAAGTTAAACTATGACACCAAAAATTATGGCACTTTCATCTGAAAGGTATGAAGAGAATTATATCTGAAGAAGCAGTGTGAGGGATTCCTAAGCTTAAGATAGAAGAAGGAAGGGTATGTGGTGATTGTCAAATTGGAAAGCAGACTAAGATGTCACATCAGAAGATTCAACATCTTACTACATCAAAAGTTTTGGAACTTCTCCACATGGAGTTGATGGGACCTATGCAAGTTGAAATTCTTGGCGGTAAGAAGTATGACTATGTTGTTGTAGATGATTTTTCTAGATACACATGGATAAACTTTATTAGAGAAAAATTAGAAACTTTTGAAGTGATCAAAGATCTTTGTCAAAAACTTCAAAGGGAAAAGGACAGCCATGTCATAAGAATAAGAAGTGATCATGGAAAGGAATTTGAGAACAACAAATTTGCTGAGTTTTGCTCCTCTGAAGGAATCAACCATGAATTCTCTTC